GTGAATGGAGAGAGTAATTAATCAATGTATGAAGTACTCAATGAATATTAATTACTTATTAGTTTTTCTAGATTGGTCAAAGTATGTATTTTCAAGATTAATTAACTACTATATCAAAGGTATAATGGGAAGAATATGATAATTTATGCATTGATTTTATGAAATGTCAAGTATTATAGTTCAATTATTTATAGAAAGAGATGACATATAAAAAGGAACGGAGGAAGTACACTTTTCAAAATAATTAATTGAGGGTATAATAGGTAAAAAAAAATTATTTTTTTCTTGATTTGTCAAAATGGACAAGTAATTAGGGACAACTAAAAATGTAAAATGGACAAGTAATTAGAGACAGAGGGAGTCTACATTTTTATTTCATCTTAGTTAATATCTACATTGTTTTAATTTTGGGTATGTAAATAGATAATTAAATTTCTATAAAATTAAGGAAAAAAAGTTGAAAATATATCCGAACTTTGATCGAAATTGCCGTAACAATCCAAAACTTTGGGAAAGACATTTTACCTCACTACACTATTTAATAGTGCATTTTAAACGTATATATGTGCTCACGTGAACATCATAATTATTGCATCATTATAAATAGTAACTTGTCCACGTGGACACATATATACATTTAAAATATACTATTAAATAGTGCAGTGGTAATAGGTCATGCTCAAAGTTTGAGATTATTACATCAATTTCGACCAAAGTTCAGATATATTTATAACCATTTTCCATATTTCACGTGATATAATACACATAAAATATCATATAAAGACATGAATTATCACATAGGACGTCAAGTAGGACATATGTGTTAACTTGTTCAACTTCATATAAGTTTAAGTGCATATTTGTATGCACCCAAAATAGAAAAACATAAATATCAGAGAAAAAATTTAAAATAATATTTTGTCTTTAAGTTATTTTTCAAAGTCATCCTTGAGTTTTCACATGAAGCACTAATAGTCACTCATGTTTGCAATATTGTTGCACTTTTGGCCCTCTCCCAAATCTTTGCCTATTTTCTAACATTTATTTTATCCACAATTTATATATGAAATGTTCAATCATCTCTTTATATATTTTGTAGAAATAATAACTTCATATGAGAAGAAGAACACCTTGTTTAATTTAGTAAAAATATTATTGCAGCTAAAATTTAGAGGTTCTTCACGTCGATTTCACGTGCAATAGTATAATTTTATTATTTTCCTGTAACATCATATGTCAAGGTAATCTTAGGTAGATGTATTAATATTTCTACTAAACAGAAGAATATGTTTTTCTTCTCACTTTCTCTCACATGAAGGTCGGGTCCCAATCCAAATGTTTGGTTTCGAGTCGAGAGTCAAGATTAAGTCTTGGGTCGAAGTCGTATCGCGAATTGATCATTGAGATTGTATCTTGATTCGGGTGTCAGGATCGAGTCATGAATCAATTACCAGGGTTGGTTTTCGAGTCAGAAACTAGTTTCCTAAAAAAGTATTTTTTACTCTTTAGTAAAAAAATAAAAGATATTTTATGTAAAATAATTTTATTCACCAACCAAACATTAGAAAAAATCCACTCACCAATCAAACATGAGAAAATAAGTGAGAGATCAACTTAATTTTCAAGAAAATTTTTCCTCCATACCAAACATACTAGTAAAATAAATGATAAATTGTTTCTTGAGTTTTTCAAATGTAAAAGGTAAAATTGAACATTTATTTTTTGTATACTGAAAAAGTAACAGTGAATGGAGGGACTAAGAGGGTGTTTGGACCGACTTAAAGTAGGTTTGACAAATATACAAAATAACTTAAAATAAGTCAAAAATGACTTCAAAAAAATTAAAAATGACTTAAAATAAGTCAAAAACCAAAAGTAGGTCTCCTCATGCTTTTTATTTTTGACTTAAAAGTCATTTCAGTTTGACTTTTATTTTTGACTTAAAAGTTACTCCTACTTATTTTTAAGCCAATCCAAACGGGCTCTAAGTCATTTCACGATAGTGGTTTGAATAATTGTATGATTCAACAAATTGTCAGACCGTTTAACTTGTTAAGATAATTCATTTAAACACTAGAACTAACCCTTATTTCATTTGAACATCTCAAATTCTAAGAAAAAAATGTTTTGATTCGATATTTTCGATTCAATAATTTGAAAAAACTTCTATATCTTGTTTTATTTGTCAATTAGATGCAAATGAAATATCCAAAAAAATTTAAAGGGTTTGTATATGAAGCGCCATTGTAATCATATCATATCTATATAATAATATAAAGCTGGATATAGAAAAAGTGATGTGACACCTTTCTGTGGCCAGCATTTGGATTTATCCTTTTTCTCATTTTTTTTTATATTTTTAATTGCATTTTTATTTCATTTCTGCTACTAATTAAATGACTACTAATAAAAACTTCATAAAACTCAATTAAACATAAGATTGCAGTAAAAGCCCAATTGAATCTGATTGCAGTCCACGTTGTGTGATTCCTTCATTACCTTGAAGATTTATGAAAATAAATAGATAACAATAAAGATGAGATCATGGGAATAAAATAAAATATAACGTAAAAAAGGAATCAGAAAAGGGCTTTAGAAATGGGTTAAATAGTATTAATGATTATTATTAAAAAGAATTTAACACTCAATTAGGTACAATTAATGCATATAATACTCATTTATTTATAATTACACTCAAATCCGTTAGTATTTTTTATATGCTATGTTTTTAATTTTTTTTATCACTATAAATACTAATGAAAATCATTTTCACTTCATAACATTTTTCCTTTTTCATTCAATAGTTTTCTTCTCAAATCTTCATTATAGTTACTAATTTACTCCTTCATTTGAAACTTTTTTTCGAGAAAAAAAAAGCTTCTTAATTCCTTTTTTTTTTTTTTTGCTTTTGCCATCATTATTAATATATCATTCTTGTGCAAAAATTTTGTTATCAGGAAACAAAGAAAAATGGTGTATGGCCTTACTTGTGAGAAGTATATGTACAATTCAAGCTTGGAAAATAGTTATTGTTACCGATATATCAAATTTATTTCTTTTAATTATTTGTTGCAAGTTTGTACATAGTTATAATGTAGATGTAATTTAATAATTTTATTTTTTATGGGATAAATGTTTTATTATAAATTCTCTAAATAATTGTATTGACTTCTTATTGAATTTTGATAATTCTTACAAGCTTGAAGGATACATTATTATTAGCTATGTATCAAAATTTGTTACTCTTTTTAAATTTAAATTGTTGCAGTTTGTATGTAGTTATAGTGTAATTGAAATAAGACCTGAAGAATACTTTAACATTAGATATAAATCACATTTTATGATTTTTTAAAATTAGTTTGTTGCAAGTTAGTACGTAGTTATAATGTGAATTGAAATACAATAATTTTATTTTCTAGGTTAAATTTCCTATTATAATTTTAGGAATAATTATATTAATTTCATATTGAATTTTGGATTATTTTGTACATGTTTCCGAAATAAATGACATCCTTAGAAAATATGGGTATCTCTTTTATCTCAAAATAATTTATACATAATTAAAATTAGCAAAAGAAGAGTTATGTGAAACTTTTCTTTGCCCGGTAATTTTATTAATCTTTTTATTTATTTTTCTTAATTATTTTATTTTAAAGATCATATTCATCTCTATAGTCTTTTTGTATTATACTGTAACTTTGCTATCTGAGAGAGAATTATAACAAACTTGAAAAACGCGTTAAGAATTTTGAAAAAGCTTAACATATGAAATTTTGCTGAATAAATCACTATCATTCACAAATCACAAGTATTTTAATATATTTGATTCATCTATTTACCTAATAGATTTTTCTTTCTCCTTCCAAATAGAATTTTAATATTGTAGCAAACCACATTTTATATGAAAGCTGACATGTTAAAAAATAACAATATATATAACATTTAAAGAATTTTCAAAACGATCAGCATTATAATTTATAATAAACTAAAGTAGTAAATCAATTTTTAAATTAATAATGAATTAATTAAAATGATTAGGCCCGCCTATGTGACACCACCACAAATCAGAATTCCCTTTTAATTTATTTATTTACAAAATTAGCCTTTCCTTTCATGAAAAGTTGTGATTTTTATGAATAGTTGTGACTTTAATGAAGAGTTGTGACTTTAATGAAAAGTTGTGACTTTTACGAAGAATTGCGACTTTTATAAAGAGTTGCGACTTTTATGAAAAATTATGACTTTTATGAAAGGTTGTGACTTTTCGAAGGGTTGCAACTTTTTCAAATAGTTGTAACATTTCTGATAAGGCACAATAAACATTTGTTCACACTACCCTTTATTGTATATAAATAGAGGGATTTCCTCTCATTAAACACAACGAAAATTCTGAACCTCCTCCTCCTTACAATTAAATATTTGTATACTTTGCTCATGCTGAGTGACTCACTGACACTATTGTTTATGTTACATATCCTGATATGTATTTTTACAATCATTAATTTATAATTTATGCATATGTTATTAAGGCTAAATGATACGATGTAATGATTTTTATTTTCCTTTACATTATTAATGTTTGTTACTACGTAATCTTGTATGTAAGATAATATAGATTTTTTAGTTTTAATATCTAATAAATTTTAAGTATTATTTTATAAATTTCGTGATATTAAATTCTCGTGTGAAATGCGGGTAATTTTACTATTGTACCCTTAAATCAATTTCAAACAGTGAATGAATTAAATTAGAGATACTTGTCTCATGTTGTTTACTTGATATCTCACATCCCAAGGTGGAAGCATGTGAATAGTAAAACAAAACCAACATTATTACCTCATTTAATAATTTTCTACTTTAACACTGTATGAGCCTACGCCTACCTATGTTAGTCAAAATAAATTCAAACCAAGTAAACGTGTAGTGCTGCCTGCAGTAACACCTTGAAAACCATATCTCATAGAAGCAAAAAACAAGAGTGTGGTATTGTTGCTGGTTAAATGATGAATGTTGTTGTTGTTGTGATCCTTAGTTTTTTCACATTTTCAATCTCTGTTATATTTTCATTGAATTCAGATGGTGTTTCTCTGTTAGCTTTGAAATCTGCAATTTCTAATGACCCATCTGAGTTTCTTTCTTCTTGGTCGGAGTTAGACTCATCAGCATGCCATTGGAATGGAATCACATGCGATGAAAATCAGAAGGTGACTTCTATTTCTCTGTCGTCGAAGAATTTGAGTGGTTACATTCCTTCTGAAATCGGAGCACTTTCTTCTCTATCAATTCTTTCTCTTTCCTACAACAACTTTTCAAAACCAATCCCTATTCATCTCTTCAATGCTACTTCCCTTCACTCCCTTGACCTCTCTAACAATGCTTTCACAGGATTCTTACCTCAACAAATCACATCCCTTATAAACCTTAAACACCTTGATCTTTCTGCTAATTTTCTCAATGGCTCACTTCCCCAAGAGCTAACTCATCTTACACTTCTCACTGGAACTTTAAATCTTTCATACAACAGATTTACCGGCCAACTTCCGGCGAGTTATGGTACGTTTCCTGTAACATTGAGTTTAGACCTTCGGCATAACAATCTGACCGGAAAGATACCTTCAATCGGGTCGTTGTTGAATCAAGGGCCTACTGCATTTTCCGGTAACCCTTTTCTTTGTGGGTTTCCATTGGAGACTCCGTGTGCAGAACCAGAAGCCCAAAAACCACCACCGAACCCGAACCCTAATGAGGAGGAGGTGGGGTTTGTAGGAAAAGGGAAATCGGGAAATGGGTCAGTGGTGGTTTCTTTGATCTCCGGCGTATCGGTTGTGATTGGGGTGATGTTTGTTTCAGTGTTGGTGTTGAGGAGAAAATGGAAGTTGGATGAGGGAAAAATGGGAAAAGAAAAGTTGGAGAAGCCAGAGGAGAGGCAAAAGGGTAAATATGTAGTGTTAGACGAGGGGTTTGGGATGGAACTAGAAGATTTGTTAAGGGCTTCAGCTTATGTAGTAGGGAAGAGTAGGAGTGGGATAGTTTACAAGGTGGTGGCTGGCGCTACGGTTGTTGCTGTTCGACGATTAAGCGAGGGGGATGTCACGTGGAAGTTCAAGGAGTTTGAGACGGAGGTGGAAGCCATTGGGAGAGTACAACATCCAAATGTGGTGAGGCTTAGGGCTTATTACTATGCAAGTGATGAGAAATTGCTGGTAACTGATTTCATCCGCAATGGCACCTTGCACAATGCTTTACATGGTAATCTCACTTCATTCTTACTTGGAATTTTCTTTACTGTTAATAGAAAAATCACTCTAAACATACTACTTACGGAGTATTATTCTAAATCACTATAAGGATAAACTTTTAGTAGTGCTGGAGTAAGTTATCCTGCCTATGCGAGTGAGAAAGGGTGTACTTTTTTGGAGAAAATTAGATCAAATCCTCGTAAGCAGTATTATCTCTGTGTCCATGGTACTTCAGGGGTTTTATTAATATATCAGACAACCTTGAAGGTGGCATTGTATTTGATATTTATGCAAAAAAAGAAGTTTAATGTCTACTCCATTGAAGTAAGTGTTTACAACCTAAGATGTCCTTAAAGCAGCTCATGATTATTCGTTGAAGTATTCTCTAGGCACATTTAACAATTTCTGTCATGGTTTCAAGCATTCTTTGGTAAATATTAATGATCCCAAATTATATGCTTTTAAGTCGATAGCTGCTTACTGTCCTTATCTTCTTTTGATCAAGAATAGGCAACCAAATGTAAATTATGATGAACAAGAACTAGTTTGGGGTAGTGGGGTGGGGAGGGGAATAATACGTGCATGGTTCATTTGTTTTTATCTGAGCAATTGGCATTTGTGTTTTCTGCTTCCTGGAAAACATCTATGCAAGTGTTAAGCTATTGAGACCTTTTGGGCTCCACAATTCAACATCTGTTGGTTTATTGTAATTCACTAGTTTCTGGTCCCCATTATGGCATTTTCCCCTTGTTTTCTGCTTCCTAGGGAGTACATTTTATGTGGCCTAAGATACATTGAGAGAGGCTTTAAAGTTGAAGTAAACATTCGGAAGTTACACTAAGGAAAAAAAACATTAGATCTATCAATTGGATGTTAAGCTATTCGTTCGATTCATGTTCATTAGGAATTGAACTAAGCATGGTTACACATAAAACGTGAATCCAAAGTGTGAAATTTTTGCAGAACAAAATATCGACTAATCATAAAATGTTGTAGTTCCTCCTTGTAACATCTATCATTGTCAAGTTCACTTTAGGATGTTGGACTTTATGTAAAAGAGGCATTCAGCTGACACCGAGAAGAAAACTATTACACCACAGGTTATTTTTGTCTTCAAATTCTTTTTTAACTAAGTGGAGAAGTCCACGACGTTAAGCTTTCTGATAGGTAAATATAAAACAAAAAAGATAATAAGTAAGACACGAAATTTCATCAGATTCCAAGACTTGGTAAGTCATTCCCTGTTTCCTTTAGTCTGTTTGTCTTGTTATTCAGAGGTGTTGTTTAATGTACCTATAATTTGTATTGTGGTTATAGAATCCCTGAATAGGCAGTTACTGGACTTGTGTTAGCCTTGTATTTTGCTCTCTTTATTTTCAGAACCTTGCACTTCACAAAAACATTAAGGTTCTTTTGAACTCCAGTCCCTTTTTCTTAACTTCAATCTTTGTGTACAAGTCTTCTCCACATAATCCTACCCTTTTTGCTCGTACTTTGGTATTGTCAATTGTGAACCAATCCTATTTAAACACAAGTGGAAATGAAGATTGCACCTACTTTGGGGTGGCTTCTTGAGAATGTGGTTCCTCTAGTTCATATTGGTAATTTTTTGTCTCGACAAAATACCAACTGACCTATTTCTTGTTTTCCTTGACTCAGACTTCCATTGTTTCAAGCACATATTTTTGTACCAATTTCAGGATTTGAAGTGAAAAATGTTCTATTTGTTATTTTGAAAAGCTGTCGTCGATTTGGCATGAATCACTTTTTAATTTATCTTCCACAAGTCCAAAAATATTTTTTGGATTTCAAAACTTGCATTTTCCGGCAAAAAATTTCTCATGGAAAAAAGCACATACACAACTAATTTCTCTAGAGAACTGGGTGATTTTCTTTTTATGTTGGAACATTATCCTTGTTAATCAATCTTTTTATGTTTATTTTTTACAATTGCAGGAGGACTTGGTAATAACTTGCCACCTCTGTCATGGGCAGCTAGACTGAAGATCGCTCAAGGCACAGCTCGGGGTCTAATGCACATTCATGAGTGTAATCCCAGGAAGTATGTTCATGGGAACATAAATTCAACAAAAATCCTTCTTGATGATGACTTGCAAGCCTACATATCTGGTTTTGGATTGACTCGCCTTGTTTCAGGTTGCTCCAAGCCCATAAACAGTAGTACCAAAAAGCTAAGTACAAGTCAAATCATAATAAGTCCTCAAAACTCAACTTCGTCTTGTACTATGTACATGGCACCTGAGGGTCGAGTGCCTGGCTCCAAGTTCACCCAGAAAAGCGACATCTACTCATTTGGTATGGTACTTTTGGAGATTCTGACTGGTCAGTTGACAGATGGAGGATCGGAGGTGGAGGATGATGGGAAGGGGCTTGAGAGTCTTGTTAGAAAGGTTTTTAGACAAGAACGACCCTTGTCTGAGATCATAGACCCTGCTCTCTTGAATGAGGTTCATGCTAAAAAGCAAGTTGTTGCAGCATTTCATATCGCTCTCAACTGCACAGAACTGGATCCTGAGCTTCGGCCAAGGATGAGAACAGTTTCTGATAACCTTGATCGCATCAAACTGCAGTAAAAGAAGCTTGATCAATGTAAAGGCTTTCAATGTTTTGCTGACCGCCTAATGTAGAGCTGTTTAGTAATTGTGAATCAGAATTTTCAGTTTGTGTTGCCAAATCCTAGATTTGGCGTTTCTATTGTAACTCTACTAATTCAATGTTCTATTTGTTGAATCATCAATTGAAAATTGCTTGTGCTAGCGAATCTTACAAGGCCATTGTGTTTGATGGTACGGACATGATCTGAATTCCAGATAACATGCAAAGGAGCATGGTCAGACCCTGCCTAGTCAAATGATGTAGTTCAATAGTTGGAAAGTTCTGTATGATTTCTTGATTGCCCATCACCCTATTCAATCTTTTGAAACTACACTCCTCCTCTATTCTCTCATTCTACCAAGCGAAGTTGCTACCTGTGTACTATTTGTTTTCTGTCAATACACAATCCCTTAACATTGAGCAAAATCTCCAGCTTCATTCTGAGAAAAAAACTAATCCACCCAGCTTCTCTTCTTCTTTCAATATGACATTGAAATCTCCTCTCACTAGTCATGGGCACTGATCTTTGACTGGAGATATGATTAAGATCGTCCAATAGTCATAGTCTTTCTACAGCATTGCATCTTCCATAAACACAACAATGATCATCGCTTCTTGATTACCACCTTTATATTTGAGTTTCATTGTAATTTGTTGGTAACTGTACAGTATGCCATCTTTTTGCCTGAGACGATGTCAATGCATGCGTAAGTTTTGCTATTTGCGCTGACATAGCACTTATCTGAACACCATCAAATGTCTCGGCTTGGAATGATGATTCAATATCTTCTAAACCTGATCGGAGCCATTGTACATTGTTCTGAGAGTCCATCCTACAGTTTCTGCCCTTATGTGTGTTAACTCCTTAGCGTTGATTTTGATTAATGACACTTAAACATTCACTCATACTCTTCGGAGGCAAACACATCAACAAGAAAGGAAGCCAAGCATAAAGCATAAAGCATAAAGAAGAAATAAAGATATGTCTTGACCTGTAGAATCAATCAAAGATTCCAGAATAAAGATATGTCTTGATCTCTAGAATCAATCAGAATCAATCAAGCAGATCATGATCAATCAGAGATTCCAGAAATCAATCAAATATATTCAAGATTGCAGAACAAATCACCTAAGGAAGGAAAGAGATAATGTGCATCAATCAAAGAATAATTTCAAGCAACAAGATCAGTTAACAACCAAGACTACAAGGAAGAAATCAAAATCAAGGGATGCATTCAACTTAACGAGATCAGCCAAAGATTCAAGACCACAAGAAGATCATCATACAAAGGAATAAATTGATTTGCTCATGCACATATCTGATATGGACATGACTCTGTAAATCAATCAGAATAAAATCAAGGACTTAATCAAAGATCCTTGATTCAAACTCCCTTGAGTTTTCGTAAAAGAGCAAAGTCCTCCAAAGCTATATAAACCTCTCTTAGCCATAGTTGTGAAGTACATACTTCACTTGAACTTATATTGTAATCTTCTTTTATCTTTCATAAAACTTTGTACTCACTTAAGTGAACTATTGAAAAGAAAAGAGAAAGAAACATTTGAGTGTAGGTTATACAAGTAGAGGTTGTGTCAAAGAAAAAGATCCAATTTGCATATAAGACAGGGCTCTCAATTGTAACATTTTGTAACACCCAAGTTCTCAACAAGCTCTTAACGAAACCCTTGAAACCCAAGGGGACTGGACGTAGGCATCACACCGGTGTTTCGAACCAGTATAAAATTATTGGCGTCATTTACTTACTACATTTATTATCTTTGTTTATCTGTATTACTAACTTGCAGGTGAGTTGACTGACCAATATAGAAAGTCGACTGAAGAAATTTTTAATTGACCCCCCTCTTAACTTTCAATTGGTATCAGAGCAGGTCTCACTAGTAAAGTGTTTAACCACACGTGAGCAAAGATCCAATGGCATACTATCAGATTCCTGGTGCTTTACTTCAAGATGGACATTCCTCAACTCGACCACCGTATTTTAACGGCCAACATTAGTTCCACTGGAAAGATATATTCAGAATCTTTGTCTCTTCAAATGACCATCAAGCATGGATTGTGATCAAGAAGGTTCCAAAGCCTATTCCTGGACTAACCGAAAAAGATGGCACTGAGAAGCCATTTGATCCCGAATCATTCGATATCACAAAGGAACCACCAAGGTAAAGGAAGCTCAGATCAGTTCACTAGTCAATGAATATGAATTATTCAAAATGGCCAAAGATGAAAACGTAGAAGACATGTTCTTGAGATTTAGCAAAATTGATTGCGAACTCAAATCTCTTGGAATGGTATACTCAAATGGGCTACAAGTTAGAAAAATCGTCAGAAGTCTTCCCAAAGCTTGGGAAACTAAAGCTGCTATTCTTGAAGATGGAGATCTGCAGAAAATGACGTACGATGAACTTCGAGGCAACCTGATGGCCTATGAGCAAAACCATATTAACAGGTATAACAAAGATGATAAAAAAGAAAATTGTGGCCTTTACTACCGAGACATCTGAAGTTGGAGAAGAAGGTGATGAATATCAAGACGGAGGAATGACTCTTATAAATCGAGGAGTGAAATAAATTCTTAGACAAAGACCCCAACAAGATTTTAAGAATAATGAAAGGAATGATGATCGATGCTACTATTGTGGAAACCAGGACATTTCAAACAAAACTGTCCAGAACAGAGAAGGAGAAACAATCGAAGAAATGAAGATCTAAAAAGTCTCGGAGCCTGGGATCAAGGAGAAACATCCGAAGATGATCATGATGAAACTGCCAACATATGTTTTATGGCACTAGGTAAAACAAGTGAGGTAATATCTTTTAACTGTCCTAACTGCAATGACCTACAAGACTCTTTGGACATGGTTACTGATGAGTTACAGAAAGTAATTGATGAATACAATAAGATTGCTCAAGAAAAGAAAGACAGGCAGATTCTTTTCGAAGCAAGTCAGATAGAAGTCGACATACTAACAAAAGAACTAGAAGAAGTAAAAATGCAGTTGGACAGTATCAGAAAATCTCCTAGTCATAGCTCTGTCAGATCTAACATAACTGCTTTCAACAGGAGAAGATCTCCTAATCAAAGTTCCAACAGATCTATATCTAATTCTCCTTATCATTCTGCTGAAAATTCTGTTAATTTCTCTTGTTATACTTGTGGTGACATTGGTCACAAATCTTTTAACTGTAGGAAATTTTCTTCTGGAAAATGGATTTGGAGACCAAAAGTTGTTAACCTAACCCTTAAGGACCCAAAAATACTTGGGTACCAAAAAGAAATTAATCTACTTGTTTTACAGGACAGACCAAAAGAACTTACAAAAAGGGAATGTGGGTAATAGATAGTGAATGCTCCAGACATATGTGCGGATAGAAAGAAGATTTCAAAACTCTTTACAAAAATGATGGAGGATATGCACAGATCAGAGAAAATGCAAAAGAAGAAGTAGTAGGAGTTGGATCAATCACTCTTAGCTCATCATGTGATATATCAGAAGTATACCCGGTGGAGGGACTTAAACACAACCTGCTTAGCATCAGTCAACTATGTGATGTTGGATTCAAATTCTCATTAAATGCTACAACTTGCACTATCAGACATGTGACTAAGGATATCACAATCATTGGAGATCGTAATGATAATATCTACGTTGACTTGCCAACACTTACATGTCTAACTGCAAGTATCAAATGAATCTTGGCTATGGCATAGAAAACTTAGTCACACTATCATGCATGCCTTTGAAAAATTGTCTAGACTTGAACTAATCACTGGGCTTCCAAAAGTTAAAATTCGAAAATGACCATATATGTGACGCTTGTCAGCTTGGTGAGCAAACTCGTTCTTCGTTCAAGGTCAAGGATACTATAAGTACCACTAAACCTTTGCAACTTATACATATGGATCTCTCTGGTCCCACTCGGACCGCTAGCATTGGTGGTAAGAAATATGTCTTTGTTATCGTTGACGACTTCTTAAGATTCACTTGGGTAATTTTCCCATCTCATAAAATGAAGCTTTCTCTAACTTTGAAGTGTTTTGTAGAAGATACACAAAGAAACATGATATTTTATTTCCAAAGTTCATAGTGATGATGGAGGAGAATTTGAGAATAAAGCATTTGAGGAATTATGTGATAAAAATGGATTCACCCAAAATTTCTCATCTCCTAGATCACCTCAACATAACAGATGGTAGAATGGAAAAATCGTTCGTTACAATACACCGCCAAAACCATGCTTCTTGATCGAAATCTCCCTGATCATTTCTGGACTGAAGCAATAAGTATTGCATGCCATGTTTTAAACAGATGCCTCATCAGACCTATTTTAACTCCATATAAGCTATGGAGCGGTAATAAGCCTAATATAAACTATTTTCACCCTTTCAAATGCAAATGTTTCATTCACAACAATGGTAAGACAAATATGAGTAAGTTTGATCCAAGAAGTGATGAAGGTATATTCTTTGGTGATGCACCCATCAGTCGTGCAATTCTAGTTTTTAATAAAAGTACTTTTAGTGTTGTAGAATCTGTTCATGTTGTTTTTAATGATACTAACCCAAGGATGCAGAAAGTAGAGTCTATAGATGATGAAACTACTCCAGCATTGAACACTAAGAACCTCTCAAATACTTCTGATCAAATTACAATAGAGGAGTCGACTACTCCAGAATTGAAGTCAACTAGTACAAAATCGAAGTCGACTAGCCTAATCGAAAAGACAGGCATGGAGACACAACGCTAGCTATCCAAATGACTTTATTATGGGTAAACCAACTGACTCAATACAGACCAGGGCTTCAATGAGAAAACAAGAATCTGTTGCATTCGTGTCTCAACTTGAACCCAAATGTATAAATGAGGCAATGGAAGGTGAATCTTGGAGACAAACAATGAAAGAAGAACTTGACTAGTTTGAAAGAAACAAGAAAGATATTGATTACGATGAAACTTTTGCTCCGGTAGCAAGATTATAATCCAAAAAGAAGGCTCCAAAGAAGCCGCGTCCCAATGCTTCAGGATCCCTCTCTCCCA